TTACGTCATTAGCAACGAATGCCTTGATGACTGGGAAAAATGGCATCGAAAGCCCCATTGACAAGCACAGATTTTAGTTTTACTCCAATAACGGCCGTTTTAGTGGTAAAATACGATAGAATATATTTCCATGCGTTGTTTAAAATGTATTTCATGCGGAATTTTGAATCTCAAAGGAAGAGTTATTATTGCTTTAACTAATCTCTTAATCCAAAATTCCTATCATCATTTAATAATGATGCAAAATTCTTCTTTCAGATTGCTATTTATTTTAAATTTTAATGCTGCAACTGTTCCAAAATAATCTTGTAGTAAAGGAAAAATGCAAATGAGAAGTGGAAGACCAATTTTACCCACATTATTCAATTATTTGAATATAAAAAGAATAAGGTCACGATTCAACAAATTAAAATAATCTTTCATTAACTCTTTCATGAATAACATATTAAACAAAATTAAAGGTATAAATTAGTGGTAATGGCTTATTCTGGAATATATGACCTCTGCACATCATCAGTACCTGACTTGGTACAGTATAGTTACTACTTGGATACAGAGTTAGATTTAATAATGTAACAATAAGAACAATATATGTTACAATAAACTTCTCTGCACATGTCAGGCGCTTGTTACCATGAACTAACACTACTTGACAATGGGCTGAGCACTTATCACAGAGTCTGTGTGCAATGCCATTGTTGTGCTGTGATTGGCTAGTTGAGTCACGTGAAGCCCTACTGTAGCGCCCTCGCGTATCGCGTGAATGCTGCGCATTTCTCTCCATGATTATACATAATGTTGCCAACAGAAAGACAGATAATTATTTAATACCGTACTCATAAAATGTTCATTAGTTGATTAATAAATGTCTGATCATCAAAATTTCATCACTTTTAAGCTAGCCCTTTGAAGTTATCTAGAATGTTTCATCAAAATCTGTCCATGACTACATGTATTTGACAAACAACCAGACAAATTGAGGGGAAAACAGCAATAGCATTCCTGGCAGAGGTGATTATTGGCAGACCAGTGATCTGAAATATGGGGTCTGTTTTGTCACAAGAAAGACGCAGGCATTTTTTCAGACATTTCTTTCTTTCATGTGACCTACTCTGCGTTAAATTTTGGTACAGTATAGTTACTACTTGGATACAGAGTTAGATTTAATAATGTAACAATAAGAATAAGTATTCAGAAGTGTGGTCAAAACGATTATATCAGCTTTTGCCTGAAATATTCTTTTGTAACACCGGTCCTTTCACCGTTGAATCAACGTTAATTTTGGTGGATCAACGTTGAATCAACGTAGAATCAATGTCTTTGCCTGCTGGGTTGATTCGGAGATTTTCCACATCCCCTGAGTATGAAGTTAGGCCTATAATTATTACTTTGTTACATTTTTACGAATAGTACGAGGTTGCCAGATCATACGCACTACTGATCGTCTACAGATAGGTTCAAGCACATGTCCATTATAAATTAATGTGTGGTCGCATACGATAATAAGTTTACTTTGTATTTATGGCCAGTGTAAACGAACGGCTTCTGAATGTTCAGACTTTTGTCATTGCCTATTTTGCCCAGGTTTCAAAAGAAAAATTATTTTACTTGCAGTGCTTTCTTTTCGCGTCACAAAATCCGGACAGACTTATATCAGAGCAGGATCACAAACCACGTTGACATGTCAGTGGACACCACCACATGGAATTGGTCCTCTGAGAGTAATCTGGAGACGGGGTTCTACAGTGATAGCAAGTGCTGCCACACCTAGCTACACACCACAGTATCCTGACACTAGTATGAAGGGCCGTGTGACACTGGGCAAACTAACCTCCTCAAGTCGCAGTACATCAATAACATTAACAGGATTACAGTGTCCAGGTGATATTGCAGAATATGCATGTGATGTTACTCTCTATTTTCTACTAGATGATAGGGGAACAGCAAGTTTCAACGTCATGCTCTTTGGTAAGTGGCATATAGAATAAGAAGGAAGTTTTCATGTACTTATTTAGCAAAAAATAATGTCCTGACACACATGAACAATAAGCTGTTTAATTTCATTCATATTAGGATAAAATTACATTTCAAAAATGAGTTATCAATTTTCAATAAGTGATACATTGTGAAAAATTAATTAAGTAACGAGCGTGTCTTTTGTAAGTAGTCATTTTAATTCCTTTCTCATTCTCAAATTCATAACTTTGTGTGAGACGCATAGGGCGCTTATGATGGTAAACTTATTTCGAATGTAGATTTCCTGGGAAACAACATCGTGATGACATCCTCGTCAAGTCAGCTACAAGCAGACCAGCATGCTTCCCTGACTTGTACAGCCAGTAATATTGGGCGACCACCAGGCATCATGAAGTGGTACAAAGGCTCTCAAGAAATCACCACTGGATTTACTCAGCAGACAAGTATCAATAGTGATGGTTGTACCTATAATGGAGTTAGTAGTCTGAGTATTACACCGACATACCTGGATAATGGAGTTATGTATACATGTGTTGTTGAGCCAAACTCTACAGTGCCTGGAGACTCCTCAAAGCAAGGAAGGTATACACTGGATGTACAATGTTAGTATTCTATCCCGTCTTGAAATTTGTGTTTAAACTGCAGTTTTATATTTATACACATTTTGATTGTCATTCCATCTGTGTTTCCCACGCAAGACGTACATTACACATTGTTTGTCATCTTTCCTTTGATATATTATTTGTTACATCTTTGCTAGATTTTCCTTTTGTGAAACTGTGTATCTTATATTATGCAAACATTTATTTCTTTTCTATCCACATTTTTAAATATCAATATATTGCATTTTTCAGACCCAGTGCGACAGGGGCCAACGGTGACATCATCCACTGGTACATGGACAGTTGAGCAGGGAACAACATTTACTCTCAACTGTCAGGCAAGCGGCAATCCAAGTCCAAGCTATGTGTGGACCAGTCCAGATAATACCAACTCTACTGGCTCTCAGCTTATACTGACACTGACTAATACTGGAACCTTTTTGTATACTTGCTTTGCCACCAATAGTTTGACGACATCACCATTTCCAACACCTGTCAGAGTGACGGTACAAGGTAGGTGCTATATCAAAATCCAATCCATGGAAAAGTAGGTCGCGCTGTATGAAATATCTCCAGGTTTTTGTCTAAGAAGGGGTTCGTTAATAAACAGAGTTCCAAGGGACCCCTAGTGCTGATATACATGTTTCCATCTGTTGCATTGAGAGATAAAACTCAAAGCAGAACAAAGACATTGTTACCAGACATCCAGGCAAGGTCTTCCCAGTCACCAAGGTGCTCATACCTTTATCACACCGTGATATGTTTCACAACTAAAAAAAAAATCTGCCACGAGTGAAATCCACGGCCCATATGTAAGTCTAGAAATTTAGAATTCAGAATACGTTTTGAGCATGGTAACAATTGTCTAAACGGTTGCGGACAGGACATACCTTTTTTATTAAGGGAAAGTGCTGAAATTTCGTTTCCTTTTTGAAGTGCAAATGTGATGATTTAGTGACAAACATGACATAGTCAAAAATGGAAGTCGTTTGTTTTATTAAACTTACAGCCAGTTGATCCAATTTCTTGTTGTCCTATGCTTGATAGAGAAAATTACTACAACAACAACAACATCCACGACAACATCAAGGACAACATCAACGACACCAGTAGCAGTAGCATCGTCAGCAACTGACACACTTACAGGAGGCGAGGTTTTACATAGCACAGGTAATGGGCGGGGCTGAATGGAAATATGTGTTTAATCTTTGACCCCAAATAAAGCAGATCAAATATTTTTAAACGTATTTGGAGTACTTGGATGCAAAATGTTCTTTTCGTTGTGTTGTTCAATTTGATGTTGTTTTGCGTCAATGTGCCTTTTTATTTTAAAATTTTGCATCTCTTAGGCGTGTTGGCTGGCGCAGTTGTGGCATCGGTGATAATAACACTTGTAGTCGCGGTTGCTTTATTTGTTCTGTATCATGTGAGTAGAAAGAATTACGTTTTTATTTATGTTTTTATTTCACTTAAGTCTTCTGGTAAAAAAATTACATTGGTTATTTTATGATGATTCAAACCTCAAAGTTTCATAAACGCAATCTTTTAAAATATATAGAAGATAAGAGAAGATAAATAAATAACAGACTAGTGTGCACATTTTGTTATGCACTGGATGTACAATGTACATGTGTCATTGACGTTTTCCTTTTGTAGAGAGGCATTCTGCATAGATTTTGGAAGAATAGACAATCTGCAGACACTTTTGAAGTGGATGTTACGGAAGGCAACAATGAATACGCCGTGCTAGAAAGAAAACCAGATGTTAATGAGGTATAGTAGATAGAATCCACGTGTTTACTTTGTATTACTAAACCAAAAAAATTGAATTCATCTGGTTCTTTGCTCACTGTCCTATTGTTGGACTCCTGACTTTTATTGGACGGAGAAATACACGTGGCATATTTGGGTCTTTTATTATTTAATAGGAAGCTGACATGAAACACCTTCCGTATTGAAAAAATATTTAATGCTTTATCCACACGTTTATTTCAGCCGGATCACACTTACGCAGCACTTCAGGAAAGATGACGTCATTCAATACACGACCAGGAAAATGAGGAGAAGGGCGTAGAACAGTAATCAAACGCGACATGTACATCATCTTCACTGGACCAAAGAATGTCGATACCTCGGCCGGACAGTGAACAGAATTAGATAGAAAAATAATTTATCAGATTTCAAAACGCTGATGTTAACAGCTGACATTAAAACGGTGTCCAGTCTGTCAAAACTACCAAGCTACCAAAACAACGAAAAGACAACGTATTTTGATAATGATTTTGTCGAAAACTAGAACTGTTTATATGAGTTCAAACGCTAAAAAGAGCCCTGGTCCGACCAATGTTCAGTCAAAATTATTTCGGAGGCTGCCTGTTCTTAATTTGTGTGAGAAAGAAATTATATTTACGGTAAAATAGCTGTAGGTATTATCACTCACATTTTAAGCTTCGCTTTCATATTATTTATTTCATGACATTATCGAGGGTTATATTAAACAAAGACAGTGCCGAGTGTACTACAGAGAAAAGGAGACAGTGAAAGATACACTTCCTCCATAGCCTCTATGATTTTGTCAAGCTTAAGCTTTTGACAAAATTTTAAAATCGTAAACTGGTAGGCCGTATCGTTATGGTAGATAACATTGCACATTCCCCGTGAAGACATTGTTCGGTGCACGTGTGGTAATTGTACGTTCGGTGGACTTGCCGTTGAACTTAATGTTGGTCTCTTTCCCTTAAAATTTAGTGTTAGGGCGCATTCCCATAGATTTTAGATCGATCTATCCCCGTGGGGAGTCTCACTAGATTGTTGTCAGATAATCCGGCTTAAATGTCCGTCCCGCCCACTACAAGCTGTAAGGGGGTAATTAACTTTCGTGCCCGTTCGGCTGACAGCTATTTAGCGTGAACCCCCCGGGAGTTAGGTCAATCCTCGTTGGATCGATCTAATCTCTGGGAATGGGGTCTTATTTACAGTTTCCTTATTCTGACCACATGGAGGAAACATCGTAGGGGGCAGTACCAACAACGTGTCGATCGCACGGAAGGCTTACGGCAGCTGCATTGAGACTGAAAGGGTTCCGTACGATCACTTTTCAACCTAAAAACTGATTTTTTTTCCTACATGACCTACACGGCAAGTGTCCTCTAGGCTTTTCCTGCTATCGACAGGTAGAATCTCAGTTAGGCGATGTATGATATAGAAATAAAACCTAGTTTGAATCTTTTCTAACTGTCAGATTTGTGTTTACTCGACCTAAAATTATGCCCTTGTCTTTGATGAGAACGTTTAGATATCCCGACTATACAGTCCTGCTTTTCACAATAATGTTTATCTTTTGGGCTAAAAGCTGGACTTAATAAGCTTCGCAATTAATATGCAGTTCTTCGCGATGTTTTTCTATGCTTTTAAGACCACTTTGTGGAAAATCAACAATTCACAAACAAAGACATAACTCTGTGAAAAATATCCATCCCAGCTGATTTGCGAACTTGAAGTGTATTGTGAGTTTGAGAACATTTACGATGATATCAACACAGTTCTATTTCACTGTCCTAAATTACCTTTACCAAAAGTCACAACGGTAAGCTCATTGTGATCCTTGACCTCCTCATGTCAAACCTTGTCGATGTTTTCTGAACAAGCACGCTGTTGTTAGGTGAATGGTTAAATACGGAAGTAATACAGTTCGAGGACAAAGTTGAGGTCAGCCAAGAAGTTATAATGAGAAGGAGTAGAAACAAGGGGTTTCCTTTCATCCTATCCTCGTAACGGGCTTAATCCTAATAATTACCCAGCTTGTGGTCTTAGGGAGAGCTTGTGCCTAATACATATTCAAAAGACCATTCACGTGGGTTGCTTCAGCCAATTGGGATAAAGCCTCGCGAAGTCTCTAATAATCTCACAGAGAAAACATGGTGGGATTACAGAAAGGTGTAGAGAGAGTTCAAGCCTGGACGCAACCATTTCGGGAAATAAAACTCAAATTATGCAAGATACACCATTTGATCTAGAGCCGATCAGTTATACAAAATTTAGTTTCACATCAAGAATGTATGAGAACAATTTCACAAACCCACCTTCAACGCTAAAATTTGCACCTGTAGAAGTCTCATATTTATTTTAAATTATTTTTGTCGTGTAAAGGCGTGTAAAGGAAATTTACCTTCATCTAGGAATGACACATTCAATTCACAGCCGTGTACACAAAACAGTAGTACTTGCAATTTCCGTATGCCAGCCTCGTTTCTTTCTTTTTTGGCACATTATTGCTTATATACCAGGTAGAGCTTAAACAGGAAAATTGGGGAAATGTAAATAAGTTATTGCACTTAGTATGATTCTAAATGAAATTTCATCAATACATATTTTTGTTTATATCTTTGTCTATTACATGAGGCCAACTAATAGTAGACTGATAGTTTAAATTCATTAGAAGAAAAAAACAAAGAAATATTTTTATTGATTGATATTGCTTTATTTCAACATTCGAGCAACTTGTATATTATCTAAAACAAAGTACCAGCAATGAAAATATATCAATATTGTTACACCCAACAGTGATTAAAGCAATACAAAAATGGTTAGTTTTTATTTTGATGTGGTGATTATTTTATTTTATACTTTAGACAATTAGCCAGTGAACACTAAATTCCCTTTTAAAACTTGGACCACTAAATTCCCTTTTAAAACTTGCACCTCTTGTGCACTATAGTTTAATATTAGTGGTGGTAAGAAAACAGAGCCTTGTGCCTCATCAAGTTGCTGCTGGAAACAATCATTTTGACTGTTCAATTATGGCTACATGTACATCTGCCAGCAAAACTAAAGATCTTTCACCTGCATTCTCTTCAACCTGAAATGAGTAAGTGCGGAATTCATTACAAAATATAACTCTATATCCTAAACGAAACTCTGCAAACATCATATTGCAATAAAAAATTGAAAAAAATTCCGAGAGTTCCCTGTCATCAAATTTTGGACCCACCATTTTGAAAAAGTCCCATGAAAAGTTGTTTATTTGAAATGATGTTTTTCATCTAAAGGATTGATTCATTTAATATCACAATGTTATATTGTAATGGTGCACGTGCTTAACTAACCAGAAAAACATAAATTATGTGCTTACACCACGTTAAAATTAGCAAAAATTGTCCCAAACTGTCACCCAACTGTCTCTAACCAATTTAGGGACCCGCCATTTTGAAAAAGTCGGATGAAAAGTTGTCTATTTGAAACGATGTTTTTCATCTAAAGGATTGACTCATTTAATATCACTATGATGTATTGTAATGGTGCACGTGCTTAACTAACCAGAAAAACATAAATTATCTGCATACACCACGTTAAAATTACCAAAAATTGTCCCAAACTGTCACCCAACTGTCTCTAACCAATTTAGGGACCCGCCATTTTGAAAAAATAGGATGAAAAGTTGTCTATTTGAAACGATGTTTTTCATCTAAAGGATTGACTCATTTAATACTAAAGGGATGTATTGTAATGATGCACGTGCTTAACTAACCAGAAAAACATAAATTATGTGCATACATCACGCACTTAAGAAGAAAAAAGTCCTAAACATGGAGGTCCCGCTGAATCGGCCTCAGATCTTCGAACTAACGCTGCTTTCTGCACTGACAAATTTGACTGACAGCCACCGTATGAACATAAAACAATGCTCAAAGCAGATTATCAACTCTCACTCACCTTTATATCGCTCGACTTGGCGTTTTTCTAAGTATAACTTCCAAATATTCGCATTAAACATGAATAAATCAAGACGTATACGCACTGGTTCAGCTTCTCCGTCTTGAGTCACGCGGAGGCGAGCGGAGGATTAGACCAGTTACGAGGATCGAATTTCAAAGGACGCCGCTTTGAAAAGAATGCTGCGATCTGATTGGACGAGAGAGATAATTGATGTCCCGTTTCTACTCCTTCTCATTATAACTTCTTGGGTCAGCTAACACGCAGCGTTCAAAATGGGCGGCAAACTACATAATACTGTGCGAGCACTGTGGGTTTACCTGGTTTGCTGCCACCAAGGTAAGATTCGCTTGCAACGTAAGGGCTACATACAGCCGTAGATACGTTAGCTGCACTAGAAAAACGACTGGAAGCAAATATAGACCAATACAGGCAACTACTGCCAAATATTCCGAGGAGCACTGAACGCTCTTGTGTAAGTCCCGTTTACATGTAGATGCAACCCATCCATAAACGGTGCGATGGTCACTGGTCACAAGACTTCAGCGAGTGTCATACACTTATAAAACTAGATCTCTGACGCACAATGCCGGAGACATAGAGATATAGCTGCGAAGACTATCGAGATCATTTGGAGACCTCTTCCAGCTCCTAATGAATTGAGGACCACTTTCCAGTGAGAAGGGGATTCCCCACGATGTACGCTGGACTTTCTCTGAGCTGTTTAACAAGCTATGTGTGACAGGAATGGTTTTCCTAGGAATGGAAGTCCGGACTCCTAAATGATTAGTATAGGTTAAAGTTATAGTCTGAGTATTGGAGTGAGTATATGGGACGGATGTCACCTGTACGATGGCGAACGGACTGCGATTCCTAGCGGACTTTCATGCCTGTCACAACGGTCGTATCTGAGATCACGTTTGCTATTTTTTCTTAATATCGGGGTAGATCGTGTAATTTTTTTGATATTTCAAAATATGAAATAAATTCTCTTTCAGTTCTTACGTTTGACGTGACAAAATCTGGACAGACGTATATCGGGGTAGGATCACAAACCACGTTGACGTGTCAGTGGACAAAATCGGCTGGGGTTGACCTTCTGAGAGTAAACTGGAGACAAGGTTCTACAATAATAGCAGGTGCTATCTTACCTAACTATACACTTATATATCCTGACTCTAGTGTAAAAGACCGTGTGACACTGGGCACTCTAACCTCTACAAGTACCAGAACATCAATAACATTAATAGGATTACAGTGTCCAGGTGATATAGCAGAGTATTCATGTGATGTGCAGACTACCGCACTACAAGACAGTTCTGGGACTGCAAGTTTCGATGTGAATCTATTTTGTAAGTGTTATAAAAATATATCACGTTTTCATGTATAATTATTTAGCATCAAAGCATGTGATAGCATAAAAGAATGCCAGACGTACATGAACAATAAACTTTTTGATTCCATTTATACGGTTTAAAGATCATATTTGGAAAACAAGTTGACATATTTCAGTGAATGATACATGTATATTACAGTAACGGTATGTAGTATGCTGGATGTTTCGTAAATTATGAACGATTGGCAAAGTGCCTTTTGAAAGTAAGTAATTCAATTTCAAAATTTTAATTTGGAAAATTGTTAAAACAAGGTTTTGTAAAACGATTTTTTCTGAAGTTTTCATTGGAAACGACATCGTGATCACATCCGCACCAAGTCAGTTAAAAGCAGGCCAGAATGCCTCCCTGACTTGTACAGCCAGTAATATTGGGCGACCACCAGGCATCATGAAGTGGTACAAAGGCTCTCAAGAAATCACCACTGGATTTACTCAGCAGACAAGTATCAATAGTGATGGTTGTACCTATAATGGAGTTAGTATTCTGAGTATTACACCAACAGCCGAGGATAATGAAGCGATATACATGTGTGCCGTTGAACCAAACTCTACAGTGCCTGGAGACTTTTCAAAACAAGGAAGGTATACACTGGATGTACAATGTAAGTATTCTATCACGTCTTTAAATTTGTGTTTAAACTGTGTTTTTATATTCATACACATTTCGCTTATCATTACATCTGTGTTACCCACAAAAGACTTACATTACACATTATCATCTTTCGTTTGATTTATTATTATTTGTTACATCTTTGCTAGATTTTCGTTTTGTGAAACTGTGTATCTTATATTATGCGAACATTTATTTCTTTTCTGTCCACATTTTTAAATATCAATATATTGCATATTTCAGACCCAGTACCACAGGTGCCAAGGGTGACATCATCCACTGGTACATTTACAGTTGAGCAGGGAACAACTTTTACTCTCAACTGTCAGGCAAGGGGTAATCCAAGTCCAAGCTATGTGTGGACCAGTCCAGATAATACCAACTCTACTGGCTCTCAGCTTGTGCTGACACTGTCCACTACTGGAACCTTTTTGTATACTTGCTTTGCCACCAACAGTTTGACAACATCGCCACTGCCAACAGCTGTCACAGTGACAGTACAAGGTAGGTTCTACATCAAAATTCAAACCATGGAAAAGTAAGTCACCCTTTATGAAATATCTCCAGGTTTTTGTTATTGGTATTTGTGTTTAAGAAGGGGTTCGTTAAAAAACAGTTCCAAGGGACCTCTAGTGCTCCTATCTTCATATGTTGCATTGAGAGATAAAACTCAAAGCAGAACAAAGATAAGCATTATTACCAGACATCCAGGCAAGGTCTTCCCAGTCACCAAGGTACTCATACCTTTATCACACCGTGAAATGTTCCACAACTAAAAAAAATCTGCCACGAGTGAAATCCACGGCCCCCATGTAAGTCTAGAAATTTGGAATTCAGAATACGTTTTGAGCATGGTAACAATTGTCTAAACGGTTTCGGACAGGATATACCTTTTCTTATTAAGGGAAAAGTGCTGAAATTTCCTTTCCTTTTTAAAGTGCAAATGTGATGATTTACTGACAAACATGACTTACTTAAAAATGGAAGTCGTTTGTTTTATTAAACTTACAGCCAGTTGATCCAATTTCTTGTTGTCCTATGCTTGATAGAGAAAACTACCACCACAACAACAACATCCACGACAACATCCACGACAACATCAATGGCACCAGTAGCAGTAGCATCATCAACAGACACACTCACATGTACAGGAGGCGAGGGTCTACATAGCACAGGTAATTGGCGGGGCTGAAAAAAGATATGTGTTTAATCTTTGACCCAAAATACAATGGATCAAATGTTTTAAAACGTATTTGGAGTACTTTGATGCAAAATGTTGTTTTCCTTGTGTTGTTCAATATGGTGTTGTTTTGCGTCAACGTGTCTTTTTATTTCAAGATTTTGTATCTCTAAGGCGTGTTGGTTGGCGCAGTTGTGGCAGCACTGGTGATAACATTTGGGGTCGCGGTTGCTTTATTCGTCCTGTATCATGTGAGTAAAAAAATGTACAGTTACATTTTTATTCCACTTTAGTTTTCTGGTAAGAAAATACATGAGTTATTTTATGATGGTGCAAAAGTTATTAAGATTTATTGACACGATCGTATAAAATATATTCAAGAGAAGATACATAACTAAAGCAAAATTTTTTCAGACTTGTGTGAACATTTTGTTATGCAATAGATGTATCATTGACATTTTACGTTTGTAGAGGAGCATGATGCATAGATTTCGGAAGAATAGACAGTCTGCTGACACTGTTGAAGTGGAAGTTACGGAAGGCAACAATGAATACGCCGTGCTAGAAAGAAAACCAGATGTAAATGAGGTTAAGTACATAGAATCTACTCGTTTACTTTGTATTACACAGCCCCCCCCCCCCCAAAAAAAAAAAAATCCATTTATCTGGTGTTTTGCTCACTGTCCTATACATGTGATATATGTGGGTCTTTTATTATTTGACAGTAAGCTGCCATGAAACACCTTGCGTCTTGCAAAAATATTTCATTTTTTATCCACACGTTTATTTCAGCCGGATCACACTTACGCAGCACTTCAAGGAAAGATGACGTCATTCAATACGCTACCAAGAAAATAACTAGGAGAAGTTCCCAGGACAGTAAACGAACGCAACATCTACATCATCTTCACTGGACCGAAGAACGTCAATTCCTCGACTGGACAACGAAGAGAATTAGAAAGAAAACTAATGTGTTAGATTTCAAAACGCTGATGTTAACAGCTGACATTAAAACGGGTTCCAGTCTGTCCAAACCACCAAGCTAACAATTCATCGAAAATACAGCGTATTTTGATAGTGATTTTGTCGAAAACTGGAACTGTTTATTTGAGCTCAAACGCCAAAAGAGTCCTGGTCCGACCAATGTTCAGTCAAAATTATTTCGGAGGCTGTCTGTTCTTAATTTGTGTGAGAAGAAATTATATTTACGGTAAAACGGCTGTAGGTATTATCACTCACATTTTAAGTTTATTAACACTCGCTTTCGCTTTCATATTATTTTATTTCATGATGTTACCGAGGGTTATATTAAACAAGGACAGTGTCGAGTGTACTACGGAGAAAAGGACACAGTGAAAGATACACGGCCTCCGTAGCCTCAATGATTTTGGCAAGCTTAAACTTTTTAAAATCGTAAACTCGTAGGCCGTATTATTATGATAGATGACATTGCACAGTTCCCGTGAGGGCATGATCGAGATACGGGGCCATGGAATCGAGACACTTTTGCACGTGCGCAAGCGTCTCGATTCCATGGCCCCGTTTCTCGAAATAGAATCGGTTATGGAATCGAGACACTTGCGCACGTGCGCAACATAGCGAACCTTTCGAGATACGGAGCCCTGCTTTTGTCAATAAATGTTTTTTTATCTTTTGGGCAATAAGCTGAAGGACTTTATTTACTTGGCAATTAATATGTATTTCTTTGGACATGTCCTGTGCTTTTAAAATTGAGCAGTGATAAAACGATAATGAAGAATGACCACATCAATTTCGAGAAATGCAAATATCTACGGTTCCCAACCAAGTAACAACATGTATCTGTAAAGTTTTTTTCGTGCTGTTGGTGGACAGAGCATTAAATTTGTGCAATTTCGACAATCAAGCGATATATTACACTTTCACATGGCCCGTTTTTCTGGTAGTAACTAAGTTAACATTTAGCACAAAATTAAGACTTGGTTGTGAATTACGACCTAGTGCCAGGAATTGGTTTTAATTTTGGTATAGGAGATACGTGCCCTAAATCACGTTCCATTTAACATTGCTTATTCTTCTATTATATATGTTCTCTTTAAAGATTTTTTTAGCCAAAATTGCACATCAATGAAAAATAGATAAAAACCATGAAAGGAAACGCACATCTCGTCAAATGAATTCATAGTAAGTATGGCTGAGGGAATTTCTTGTGATGATATCAAACTTTGGTTTAGGCTCTCTCAGATGCTTTCTAGTACAGCAAATTAAAAACCGGACTGGTGTAAATATCCAAGGGGATACAAACCGACGTTTTATAATAGGTCACCTTGTGGAAAAGCAAAAATTCACAAACAAAGACATAACCCTGTAAAAAAATATCCACTCCAGCTGATTTTCGGGCTTGAGGTGTATTGTGAGTCTGAGAATAACACAGTCCTAAACTACCTTCACCAAAAGTCACAACGATAAGCTCAGTGTGACAGTTGACCTAATGTCAAACTTAATCAATGTTTTCTAAACAGTCACGCTGTCGTTAGGTGAGTGATAAAACACGGAATTAGTACAGTTTGAGGACAAAGTGAAGCTCAGTTGACACGAAGCGTTCAAAATGGGCGACAAACTATATAATATTGCGAGAGTACTGTTGGCATACCTGGTTTGCTGCCACCAAGGTAAGATTTACGTGGAATTTATGGGTTAGATACAGTATCTGGAAAACAGAGGCTACTTATGCCAAATATTCCACTGTGCAGTTTTCGCAGAATGCGATTCCTAGCGGACAACCATTCCTGTCACAACGGTCAAATCCAATATCGCGTTTGCTATTTTTTCTTAACCCTCATCCACAAGGAAATGGNCCCCCCCAGGCAAATTTTCAAAAAAAAAAACCGCCCCCCCCTATGAAATTTTGACTCCCCCCCCCCCAAAAAAAAAAAAAAAAAAAAAAAAAAAAAACATTCATAAATCTCATTTAATTTGAGTAAATGATCTTGTAGTATGCATAATGGAGGACACATTGGCACTTTTTGTAAGTGTGCAGGTGAAAATTTTCATGAAAAAATAAAAAATTAAAGATTTTTAATTTACCACCCAAGGACTCCCCTATGAAAAAGCTATTTATTTGACATTTGATGACCATTTCAACATCTTTCCTTTTAGGATACTTTATGAAGTTTATATTGGAAGTACTTGAAAGTTTGATGGTAAAAAATTGGGTGAAAAAAAAAACACATGAAAAATGAGAAAAATTAAAGATTTATATTCTAACACCCAATGATTCCCCCATGAAAAAGCTATTTACCCTGTATGTGTATACTTGCTTTGCCACCAACAGTTTGACGATAACACCATTGTCAACATATGTCACAGTGACAGTACAAGGTAGGCGGTGCATAATATATATACATATATAATCAATTTTTGAATTAAAATAGACGGAGAAAATCTTCAAATCAGCCTTCTTTCATCAGAACTTTACCTTGTGATACATGTGTTTTTTCCACCACATTTTAATGTTACAATGATGTGAAAATCAGTTCATAACATCCACTGCATTTGACGAAAAATATTTTAAAAAGAAACAATTTTAACACTTTATTTAACTAAAAAAGAAAAAAGATAAGGAAGAATGAAAGTAAGAAGAAAGAAAAAATAAAGAAATTAATCAAGAGGGGTACATTGTGAATTGCAGTTTATTACCAAGGTATACCGCATCCAAAACCATTTAGAAAATTCCAATAAAAATTGTCACGACTAAAATACACTAGTCCCCATCCAAGTCTAGAAATTCAGAATTCAGAAAAGGTTTGTGCATGGTATCGATTCTTTGAACGGTTGTCGACAGGAACTAGGTACGTTTTTGATTAAAGGAAAAGTGCTGAAATTCCCTTCCTTTCAACGTGCAGATGTAATGACCTAATGACTGAAATGATTTAGTCAAAATGGAAGCCGTTTGTTTTATAAAACATAGCCAATTGATCCAATTTCTTGTTGCCCCATGCTCGATAGAGAAATCATCCACATCATCATCAACAACAACATCCACGACAACATCAACGAAAACAGTACATGTTGCAGTCGGAGCAGGCAAACTTAAAGGAGGGGAGGCTCATTATAGTCCAGAAGATGTAGGTATGTGTTTAAACATTGCCCATGATACAATGGGTACAATTTTAAATACTTAAGGTGCTGTATTTTTTTTCTTGTTTTGAATTAAATCTAATTTTGTTTTGCTTTAATAGACCTTGGTGTTTTTGTAAGTCACTTATTTCTGTTATTTATTCTTGTGCATCCTCTAGGTGTGATAGTTGGGACAGTTGTCGCAGAAGTGATAATATTACTTGGAGCCGCGGCTGTTTTATTTGTCTTGTTTCGTGTGAGTAGAAAAAAATTTTATAACAGTCATATATTTTATTGAAACTTTTCAGTTATTTCAAAGTGCCCTGGTTAGAAAAAATCATAAGTTATTATATTGTAATGAGAAAGTCAAACCTTGGACATAATATCGTTATTAATACTTTTCCTTTTGTAGAGAGGCATTCTGCATAGATTTTGGAAGAAAAGACAATCTGGTGATACAGTTGACGTGGATGTTACGGAAAGCAACAACGAATACGCCTTGCTAGACATAAAAGAAGTTAAAAGTAAGGTAATGATGCCAACCAGGTAGTTAATAGAGGCTGCTTCTTGTTTTCATTAGACAGAGGCTTATGGTTCGTACAGTGTATATACGGTTCTTTTGGGACATTTTACTATAGAAGAAATAAGAAGCTCATAAAATCTTACAGATCTGAGAATACAGAAAAAAAATTTTAACTACAAATTCCTGACATGCTCATATCTTATTGTGCAGGCAAAAATTCATTCATCTGCTGCTTTGCTCACTGCCATATTCATCTCAGCAGGAAGACACTTACACAGAACTCCGAGGAAAGATGACATCATTGGACATACCGCCAGGAGAGATAAGACTGGACGAGAAGATTGGAGAAGGACGTTTTTGGGAGGTTTGGAAGGGAGAGGCAATTATTAGAAAGAAGGCACGCACGGTGGCCGTCAAACGTGTCAAAGGTTAGGTCTGAATTGAGTTCGAGTTGTTCTTAATCTTTCATTTAACGCAAATTAGATGTTTTCATTTTACTAAGGCTACATTTTCTTTGAATCACAGCCTACTGGAGACCTTCATGCACTTGTGTAGATTTAAATTGGATCAACTGAATATTTTTGTTCTTCTATTTGTAAGACTGTAGATATTAATTGAAGGATTTCTAGGCTATAGTTATGGATTTTTGTGAATGTTGGTGCTTTATACTTTGATTATTACTATTTATTTCAAAGTCCATGTATTGTTCTCTATTCCAGACCAATCCTCAGAGAAAGATGAACTCGTTTCAAGCTTTGAGAAGGAAATACAGACAATGAAAACACTTTCTCCTCACCCACACGTTGTGATGTTTTATGGATCTTCTCAACAGAATGGTTGGTATTGAAAACGAGAGATAGGGAGAGAGTTTTCCATTTTCTTTGCCATTCTAGTTATGACAATTCCACATAAAGCAAAAACAAACAGTTTTGCTCTTTATTTTAAAATGCCTAATGTCTGTATTTCCAGATCTATCCTAGAAATCGCAAGCAGTACGTACAGCGGTACAAAAACATATCATTTGTAACTATAGAAATTCTTTAACACTAGGTGCCTCACTCATGGTCCTAGAATTTATGTCCAATGGGAATCTGAAGCAGCTGTTAAGGAACAGTCGTGGCACTGGTGAATACTCTAACCTTCATGGCCTCAGCAACACGCTGACGTCACAACAACTGATGACGTTTGCCTTCCAAGTGGCAAGCGGGATGACATACGTGGCAAAACATAAGGTAAATGTAATGAGAAATTTTACATTAAAACCTCAAGTTGTCGAAATTGTTTAGAAAATTTGAAGTTTTCTTTAGTTGAAGAGGATTTATCTCCTATCAAGATCACTTGGCAAATCATAAGGTAACAGTTATGAGAAATTGTACATGAAAACGTTAAGTTCTCGGAATTATTTAGAAAATTTGAATTTTTACTCAGTTGAAGAGGATTTATCTCCTATCATCATCACTTGTGCGATGGTCCAAATTTTCCTTGTAAATTAAAAACAAATTTTAAAATCCAGGGACTTGCTAAAGTCGTCCAAGTTATCATGTTCAGCTTTAAATTCAACATTGCAAATGAAAATAAAACATTTTTGATTAAATATATGATTGCTGCATTGGAATTTGGTAACATTCTTAATTGAAGTTAGGGTAAATGTATGGTACGGATTGTGCCCCATGCCTCTACAAAGGAATTGGATTATCCGTTTCCTGATTAAACTGTTTGCATTGTTCCCCATGTAATGACGTCATTAAATCTACTGACCAGTTACTCCATCGTGACCTTGCCACCAGGACCGTGTTGTTAGATGACCAGCTGACCTGTAAGATATCGGACTTTGGACTGTCCAAGGACATCAGCCAGAGCAGGGAACATGAGTACAATACAATGGTAAACTTCTTAATACTGGCTTTGTTCACATGGAAAAAATGAATATCACGTGCTTATTTACATGCATACGCGCGTAATTGTACCAATTTATTTATTGAAACTATAGTGGTGAAATAAGGTGGGGACCCCTCCCCTCATCTCCGTTTTCAAAATACGGTACACGTGGGTATATAAGGGACTATTTGCCAAAAATTATAGGGACTTTAGGAAACGCACCGAATTGGCAGTGATCTGAATGCTTATTTGATGCCATAAACCAAATAATTTGAAAATGTTTATGCTTTTTGTTAGTGAAGTGAATAAATATATTTTTTTTCAACGGAATTGACTTAAAACAATCTTATACATTTCTTAAATGAGCAGGATGATCCCAAAATTGTTTAGCTTGTTTCAGATTTTGATGTTACATTTACTTTACATACTCAATCATGCTCTTCTTTATTCATGTTCACTTCACTTAAAGAATGGGCAAGGTTTACTACAGAGACAAAAATTGTTTACTTGATTTATTATTTTGCGATGCTGAAAGATAATGAATACTCGCTGTACTAGGGTCTTCTTCCTGTCCGCTGGATGGCACCAGAGTCGCTGATGGACAATTTGTATACATCAAAGGGTGACGTGTGGTCCTTTGGTGTTCTCTTGTGGGAAATTGTTACCTTGGGTACGTAAATATCAGATACTATATTACTATAGGAAGAGATTCAGCATTTTGTCGTCTTTAAGTAGACTCCTCATTTCATCCATAAAAAAAAACAATAGAATTCGATCAATTTCTGACAGACCTTGGAATTTTCATTCCCAACATATTGGGGTTTAAATTCATATATTGGGCATACTTTCCAGTAACTATATATATATATATTTTTTTAATCAGGGTGTCTTCCGTATCCTGGTATCCCGGGAGCAGATCTGGCACGGATGTTACACAGTGGATATCGTATGGGGAAACCAGACCACTGCACACAGCAAGTGTGAGTGTCATCTCCTGCCTTCTGGTTTCTTATTTCCATTAGTTCGACAATGTCAGTCTTGTACGGCTCATGTTTTGTAGAACCGATAATGTAAATTTATGTTTTGCTAAATTAAACAAATTATGAAGATAAATCGTATTTTAATATTATGCCACACACAGAATAGTATCTTTATGTCGGAATGCTTTTTGTCCTTTAACTATGATGTGACTTTGTTACACATGAACATGAAACGTGCGTTATTTCAACTGAATACAAAAAAGACTGCCCTTGCCATAGTAAGTTAACTTAAGCACGGTCACTGTACTAATAGTAGAAAATAAAGATATGATAAACTGATGAATACATTTTAGGTATGCGATAATGCAGAAATGTTGGCAGGCAGAACCAGGTGATCGTCCCAGTTTTGAAGACCTTGTACAAATCTTGCAGCCATTGGCAGCCAGTGAAGAGTTATATGTGGATATATCAGACTTCAGAGAGGACGTGCATGTCAACACTGCGGAGATTGGACAGGGTGAAAAATGTTGAAGTACTGACTACGTCAATTTTTTTGTATAATATATATGCTCTCAACGACAAACTTATTCGGTAGATTCTTTGTGTGTTTGTCTGCTTGTTTATTTATTCATTTATTTATCTTTCTTTTTTTTTTTTTTTTTTTTGGGGGGGGGGGGGGCACTAATTCAAAAACGCCAGAATTGAATTTAATTCAAATGTAATTTATTTCCATTGCTGAGAATTTTCCTGGGAGAAAAAACGCCGCAAACTCATTCGCCAAGCTAAGCAGATATCATTACGACAACAGAAGTCACTGGTACACAGCAGCGCATTTTAGTTTCAAAGACCTTGGCTTATTTCACTTATGTGCTACTTTGGTGTCCACCCTATTTAAACACGCAGATATGTTAATAGATGCACACATTTTTTGAATAATAAACCACTTTTTAGATCTGCATTTTTTCAAATAGATTGTTTTGATATACATTACAACACTTAACGCTACGAGGTGAGCTTGAAAATTATTCAAGGGACCTTCTCGCTTTCCATGCCTTTTAAAGGAAAGAAACTGTTAGAATTTAAGTTAAAAAAGTATGATGATCTGAACCCCCCCAAACAAACTTGATTCTATTATGACATATTTGTATTTGAAGGTTCTGATCCAAAATTTTGCATGCAAACAAAACATCAAAGGCAACAGGATATGCACGCCTCGACAAATAACCTCATACTAAGTATGGAAGAAGGGATATTGTTTTGGTTATCTCGGCTAGCTTCCATTACAGCAAATTTAAAACATGACATAAAAACCGCCTTTTAAAATGTGTCAATTTGTGTAAAGGCAAAGACTCACAAAGAAGGGCATGATTCAGCGAAAATTAAAATATCCATTCCAGCTGATTTTTGAACGTGAGGCGTATTGTGAATTTGGCAATAACATTTTAAGTTGATATCAACGCCGTTCACTGTCACGGTTTCACTGCCCTAATTTTTCTACAGCAAGAGTCACAACGTTATAAGCTCAAGGTTATATTTGACCCCTTATGTCAAATAATAAGTTTTCTCAACAAACATGCTGTTGTTATGTAAATGGTTAAACACGGAAGTAATGCAGCTCGGGGACAAAGATGAGATCAGCTAACACGCACCGTTCAAAATGGGCGACAAACTACACAATATTGTGCGAGCACTGTGGATATACCTGGTTTGCTGGCATCAGGGTAAGATTTACATGCAATACAAGGGCTGGATACGTCAGCTGTGCTTGAAACAAACCATGGCCATGGCCACTACTTCAAAATCTGAGATCCGCCTTTTAATCAAAATTACTAAGTTGGTGCGCGGAACGCCCTTTTTTATGTCCCGTTCACTCCGTGCTGCCACCCGTTTTACAGGGAATTCGTCCCATCCACGATCACTACGATGGTCTGTGGCGGGGTATTTAGTTAAAACAGATTTTAACAAAGGATGAAACAATTCACAACAGGTTACTAATACTAGTTGTTACACTTGAGACCCGTTTTACTAAAGAAAGTTGGTGTTAAATTTAAATTCGACTCTTTCAGTTTACTTTAACCTAAGATGAACAAGAGACGCTCCCAGGAGGGGAGACCTTTCCCAGGGCAACTCAATTCAATGACCTGAAATATTTTGGCTTGCTTTGTCAAATAAAAAAAACAGCTGTTTTTCAGACAATTGACCTAATCTTTAACATTGGCATCAGTATTTGCCCGAATTATTCTTTTGTAATATCGACCCTTGGTTTTCTAGTAATCATCGGATTTTCCAAATCCCCGCAGTATGAAGTTAGGCCCTAGCCTATCAAACGTAAACCACATTTATTTCGTTGCATTTCTTATGAATAGTAAAAGGGGGTCCGATCATTTGCACTTAATCAAACCTGATCCACCTTTCGCTAGTCCAAGCCCTTTAATCCGAGGTTACGTTTACTTAGATTTTACGTCGAATGTAAACAATTTTTGATTGTTCGGGCTATTGTCATGCACCTATTTTGTCCAGGTTTAAAAAAATCATTTCACTTGCAGTACTTTCTTTTGACGTCACAAAATCTGGACAGACATATGTTCAAGCAGGATCACAAACTACTTTGACATGTCAGTGGACACCACCAGCTGGGCTTGTACTTCTTAGAGTAAAGTGGAGACAAGGCTCTACAGTAATAGTAACTGCCATAATACCTAGCTATACACCACTGTATCATGACACCAGTATAAAAGACCGCGTGGCACTGGGCACTCTCACCTCCACAAGTACCAGTACATCAATAACATTAACAGGATTACAGTGTCCAGGTGATATTGCAGAGTATTCATGTGAGGTGCTTACAACTTCAATAGTAGACGATATTGGAACAGCAAGTTTCAACGTCAGTCTCTTTGGTAAGTGGAATAATAAAGACGTTTTCATGTAGTTCTTTCGCATAAAATAATGTTCTACACACATACAAGATAGGCTGTTTAGTTACTTATATATTTGGATAATTATATATTTATGTCATATTTCGAAAATTAGTTATCAAGTTTTAATAAATGTAGTTACGGTATATTGAATGGTTGACGCCTTTTTCGTGAAAACTGAATGAATAATTGAAAGAAGTCATTTTAGTTCATCTCATTCTCAAATTTGCAAGATTTGTGCGACGATTATTTCTTTTCTAGATTTCCTGGGATATAATATCACAATCACATCCTCACCAAGTCAGATACAAGCAGATCAGAATGCCTTTCTGACTTGTACAGCCAGTAATATTGGGCGACCACCAGGCGTCATGAAGTGGTACAAAGCCGACCAAGAAATCACCACTGGATTTACTCAGCAGACAAATATCAATAGTGATGGTTGTACCTATAATGGAGTTAGTATTCTGAGTATTACACCAACATCCCTGGATGATGGAGTTATGTTTAACTGTGCTGTTGAACCAAACTCTACAGTGATTGGAGACTCCTCAAAGCAAGGAAGGTATACACTGGATGTACGATGTAAGTATTTCATGTCTTTAAATTTATGTAAAAAGTGTCACCGGATAAAAAGTGCCAATTTTATTAATAACCATTAAGTTTTAAATCGCATTTAATTAGTTCATTGATGTTACCCAGATAGACTTTGACGGAAGAAATTTGTATTACACAATGTTTTTCATATCTTTCATCTTTGAGTTGAGAAACAAGAATAATGTCATTTTTGATTGTTTGTAGCATATTCCATGCCTCTGTATAAATAGTTTCAGTGATAGTGTAATGTTATGCTATGTTATGTGGTAAAACATAAAGTCATTTTCATTTGAATGTTTAATTATCTGGAATATTTTGTTCATTATATCTCAGACCCAGTGCCAGAGGTGCCAACGGTGACATCATCCACTGGTACATGGACAGTTGACCAGGGGGCAACTTTTACTCTCAACTGTCAGGCAAGCGGCAATCCAAGTCCAAGCTTTGTGTGGACCAGTCCAGATAATACCAACTCTACTGGCTCTCAGCTTGTGCTGACACTGTCCACTACTGGAAATTATTTGTATACTTGCTTTGTCACCAACAGTTTGACGACAACACCACTGTCAGCAGGTGTCACAGTGACAGTACAGGGTAGGTGTTATATCAAAATTCAAATCATGGAAAAGTTGGTAACGCTGTATGAAATATCTCCAGGTTTTTTATTGGTATTTGTGTTTAAGAAGGGGTTACTTGATAAACAGAGTTCCAAGGGACCCGTAGTGCTGCTATCTCCATCTGTTGCATTGAGAGATAAAACACAAAGCAGAGCAAAATAAGCATTGTTACCAGACATCCAGGCAAGGTCTTCCCTGTCACCAAGGTGCTCATACCTTTATCACACCATGAAATGTTCCACAACTAAAAAAAACGTGAAACGAGTGAAATCCATGGACCCTATGTAAGCCTAGAAATTTAGAAATCAGAATACGGTTTGAGCATGGTAACAATTGTCTAAACCGTTTCGGGCAGAACATACCATTTTTATTAAGGGAAAAGTGCTGAAATTTCCTTTCCTTTTTAAAGTGCAAATGTGATAATTTAGAGACTAACATGACTTAGACAAAAATGGAAGTCGTTTGTTTTATTTGACTTACAGCCAATTGATCCAATTTCTTGTTGTCCTATGCTTGAAAGAGAAAACTACCACAACATCAACAACAATATCAACGACACCAGTAGCAGTAGCATCGTCAACAACTGACACACTTACAGGAGGCGAGGTTCTACATAGCACAGGTAATTGGCGGGGCTGAATGGAAATATGTTTAAGCTTTGACCCCAAATATAGTGGATTAAATATTTTAAAACGTATTTGGAGTACATAGATGCAAAATGTTCTTTTCGTTGTGTTGTTCAATTTGATGTTGTTTTGCGTCAATGTGCCTTTTTATTTCAAAATTTTGTATCTCTAAGGCGTGTTGACTGGTGCAGTTGTGGCAGCCGTGGTGATAACATTTGGAGTCGCGGTTGCTTTATTTGTCCTGTATCATGTACGTAGAAAAAAGTACAGTTATATTTTTTATTCTACTATAGTTTTCTGGTAAGAAAATACATGAGTTATTTCATGATGGTGCAAAAGTTATTGAGATTTATTTACACGATCTTTTAAAATGTATTCAAGATACATAACTGAAGCAAGAGTTTTTCGGACTTGTGTGTACATTTTGTTATACAATAGATATATCATTGACTTTTTTCGTTTGTAGAGGAGCATGGTGCATAGATTTCGGAATGATAGACAATTTGGCGACACTGTTGAAGTGGATGTTATGGAAAGCAACAATGAATACGTCGTGCTAGAAGAAAACCATATATAAGTAAGCTAATAATACCAACCAGGTAGTAGATAAAAAGTTTTGTTTAGTTTAAAAACGGTATCTCATATTGCATATCCAAAAGGTTGCATTCATCTGGCGATTTACTCACTGTCCGATTGTTGGATTTCTGACTATTTGGGTTTTATATCATTTGGTAGAAAGTTGCCATGAACCACCTTCCGTCTTGCAAAAATATGTCATTTTTTATCCACACGTTTATTTCAGCCGGATCACACTTACGCAGCACTTCAAGGAAGGATGACGTCATTCAATACTCCACCAAGAAAAATAACTAGGAGAAGTGCGCAGGAGGGTAAACGAATGCGACATCCACATCATCACTACTGGACCAAAGTACGTCAATTCCTCGGCCGGACAACGAACGCACAGAATTAGAAAGAAAACTAATGTGTCAGATTTCAAAACGCTGCTGTTAACACCTGATATAAAAACGGGTCCCAATCTGTCCAAACCACCAAGCTAACAATTCAACGAAAAGATAGACAACTATCAAACGCCAGTATTTTGACAGTGATTTTCTCGAAAACTGGAACTTTTTATATAAGCTGAAACGCTAAAAGTAGTCCAGGGCTCCATATCTCGAAAGGTTCGCTATGTTGCGCACGTACGTTAGTGTCTCGATTCCATAACCGATTCTATTTCGAGATACGGGGCCATGGAATCGAGACACACTTGCACGTGCGCAAGTGTCTCGATTCCATGGCCCCGTATCTCGAAATAGAATCGGTTTGGAATCGAGACACTAACGTGCGCAAGTGTCTCGATTCCATGGCCCCGTATCTCGAAATAGAATCGGTTTGGAATCGAGACACTAACGTACGTGCGCAATANGCCCTGGGCTCGTATCGACCGAGCGGAAGCGTCTCGATTCCATAACTCGCTTACTCGCTCCATATAATACATCGTAGCCTCTATGCGATATTGCTATTCGCAGCATTTAAGACATTTTATTCATGAATTTGAAAATTTTACATTAAAGAAACCCTGGATTTTTTACTTTTGATTACTGTTTATTACAATTTAGTCTAGCTCTGATTTATATAAAATACATCTTCATCATTTTTATCTATAAACTTCTTTGTATTTTATGTTGTACAGTCTATTGAACATTTTATGGATTTTAGACTCGAAACAAATACACTATTAAATATTAACTTGCAATGCTTTCGAGTTACGGGGCCCTGATCCCACGACTGTTCAGTCAAAATGACTTTGAAGGCTACCTGTTCGTAATTTGTGTGAGAAACAAATTGTATTTTTTAAATAAGTATATGGTCAAACAGCTGTAGGTACATGTAGGCCTATTACCATTCACCTGCAGGTGCATAAACACTCGCTTTCGCTTTCAGGTTATTTATTTCATGATATTACTAAGTTTATAATATAAAACAAAGAGAGTCCCGACTGTTCTACGATGAAAAGGACACAGAGAAAGATACACGGCCACCGTAGCCTTTGAGATTTTGTCAAGCTAAAAGTTATAACAAAATTTTTTAATCGAAAGCTCGTAGCCCGTCTCATTATCGTAGATGGCACCTTGCAGTGATCGTGGCAATGGTTGAACTAGATGTTGGTTTCTTTCCCTTCCATCTTTGCTGTTTTTAGCGGCCATAACAATGGTTAAGATACTTGACATTCAGTGTAATACACTTGCATGGATTTGAAGTTGTGTGTGTCCTTAGAAAGGGTCCCGTACGATTGCTTTTCAACCTAAAATCTGATTTGTGAATCAATTATCCAGAATTAAAACCTTGCATGAATCCTTTCTATCTGTCAGATGTGCGTTTATACGACCTAAAATTATGTCCTTGTCTTTGATAATGAAATTTCTTAGATATCCTGACAATAAAGTCCTGCTTTTCACTATAAATTTTCTTTATCTTTTGGGCAAAAGGCTGAAGGGCTTTATTAGCTTTGCAATTAATATGTATTTCTTTAAAGATGTTTTCCCGTGCTTTTAAGTGTTTTAAGAACTTCAGCAGTGACAAAACAATAACGAAGAATGAGCACATCAAGTGCGAGAAATGCAAATAACTACGATTCCCAACCAAGTAACAACATTTATCTGTAAAGTATTTTTTCGTACTGTTGGTAGACATGGCAACTCATTTAAAAGAGAAGTTCACATACATGTAAATTTGCGCAATTTTTGACATTCAAGCTATATAACACACTTTCACATAATCCGTTTTTCTGGTATTAACTACGTAAAATTTTAGCACAGAATTAAGCATGGTCCAAGACTTGGTTGTGAACTACAGTCTGGTGCCAGCAATTGATTTTAATTTTGGTTTAGAAGACACGGGCCCTAAATAACGTTCTATTGAACATTGCTAATTCTTCTATGACATTTGTTCTCTTTAAAGATTTTTAGTCAAAATTGCACATCAAACAGATAAAAACCATGAAAGAAAACGTACATCTCGTCAAATGACTTGTGACGACATCTAACTTTGTTTTAGGCTCTCTCGGATGCTTTCTAGTACAGCATATTAAGAACCGGACTGGTGTTAATATCCAAGGGGAAACAAACCGACTTTTTAAAATATGAAATTGGCATATTATGTAAAAGCAAAAATTAACAAACGAAGACATAACTCTATGAAAAATATCCATCCCAGTTGATTTGCGAACTTGAGGTGTATTGTGAGTTTGAGAACATTAACGTTGATATCAACACAGTTCTATTTCACTGCCCTAAATTACCTTCACCAAAAGTCACAAAGATAAGCTAAGTGTGATACTTGACCTCCTCATGTCAAACCTTGTCGAAGTTTTCTGAACAAGCACACTGTTGTTAGGTGAACGGTCAAGCACGGAAGTAATACAGTTCAAGGACAAATTTGAGGTCAGTTGACAAGCAGCGTTCAAAATGGGCGACAGACTACATAATATTGTGAGAGCACTATGGGTTTACCTGGTTTGCTGCCACCAAGGTAAGATTTACGTGGAATCTATGAGTAAGATAAGTTAGCTGCACTAAAAGCACCACTGGAAGTAAACAGGGGCTACTTATGCCAAATATTCAAATATTCCAATGTGTTGTGGTTTACACAGAACGCTCTTATGTAAGTCCTGTTCACATCTGGATGCAACCCATCCATAAACAGTGCGATGGTCACTGGTCGCAAGACTATAGCGAGTGTCATACACTTATAAAACTAGACTTCTGACGCAGAATGCCGGAGACATATAGATTTAGCTGCGAAGACTATATATCGAGATCATTTGGAGACCTTTTTCCTCCTAATCAATTGACGACCACTTTCCAGTGAGAGGGGGATTCTCCACGATGTACGCTGGACTTTCTCTCAGGTGTAACAAATCGTGTGGTAGGAATGGTTTTCCTAGGAATGGAAGTCCGGTCACCCATATGATCAGTACAGTATAGGTTAGAGTTAGTCGGAGTAATAGAGTAGGTATATGGGACGGGTGTCACCTGTACAATATAATGGCGAACGGACTGCGATTCCTAGCGAACAACCATTCCTGCCACAACGGTTGCATCCGAGATCGCGTTTGCTATTTTTTCTTAATATCGGGGGTAGATCGTGTTGATTTGTTGATTTTTAAAAATATGATATAAATTCTCTTTCAGTTCTTACGTTTGACGTGACAAAATCTGGACAGACGTATATCAGAGTTGGTTCACAAATAACAATGACATGTCAGTGGACAACACCAGCTGGAGAGGATCTTCTGAGAGTAAACTGGAGACAAGGTTCTACAATAATAGTAACATCCATCACACCTAACTTTACACCAGAGAATGGTGCAGCAAGTATAAAGGATCGTGCAACACTGGGCACTCTAACCACTTCAAGTACCAGTACATCAATAACATTAACAGGATTACAGTGTCCAGGTGATATAGCAGAGTATTCATGTGATGTGCAGACTACTGCAGTAGATGACAGTAGAGGAACCGCAAGTTTCAACGTCAATCTCTTTGGTAAGTCGCGTATATATTAATCAAGATGTTTTCATGTAGTTCTTCAGCATAAAATAATGTGCAACACACATAAATGAAAAGCTGTTTAATTCCATTTATATTAGGATAAAATTATATTATATTTTGAAAATGAGTTATCAATTTGCAATGAATGAAGTTACTGTAGGTTGAATGTTTGATGCCTTTTTATAAACTGAATAAATAATTGAACACGTCTTGTGTAAGTAATCATTTTGATTCTTTCCTAATTCTCAAATTCACAAGTTTCTGTGAGACGATTATTCCTTTTCTAGATTTCCTGGGGAACAATATCACAATCACATCCTCACCAAGTCAGCTGAAAGCAGGACAGCATGCCTCTCTGACTTGTACAACCAGTAATATTGGGCGACCACCAGGCATCATGAAGTGGTACAAAGGCTCTCAAGAAATCACCACTGGATTTACTCAACAGACAAGTATAAATAGTGATAATTGCACCTATAATGGAGTTAGTAGTCTGAGTATTACACTGACATCCCAGGATAATGGAGTTATTTATTCATGTGTTGTTGAACCAAACTCTACAGTGATTGGAGACTCCACAAAGCAAGGAAGGTATACACTGGATGTACAATGTAAGGATTCTATCACGTCTTTAAATTTGTGTTTAAACTGCTATTTTATATTTGTACACATTTTGATTGTCATTTTATCTGTGTTACCCACAATAGAATTGCATTAAACATTGCTTTTTCATCTTTCGTTTGATTTATTATTATTTATTACATCTTTGCTAGAATTTCGTTTTGTGAAAAAGTGTATCTTATATTATGTGAACATGTAATTCCTTTCTGTCCCCATTTTAGAATTTTATTTATCAATATATTGCATATTTCAGACCCAGTGCGACAGGGGCCAAGGGTGACATCATCCACTGGTACATTTACAGTTGAGCAGGGAACAACTTTTACTCTCAACTGTCAGGCAAGCGGCAATCCAAGTCCAAACTATGTGTGGACCAGTCCAGATAATACCAACACCACTGGCTCTCAGCTTGTGCTGACACTGTCCAATACTGGACCTTATTTGTATACTTGCTTTGCCACCAACAGTTTGACGACAACACCATTGCCAACACGTGTCACAGTGACAGTACAAGGTAGGCGCTATATATCAAAATTCAAATCATGGAAAAGTAGGTCACCCTTTATGAAATATCTCCAGGTTTTTTTTTTTTTTTTTGGTATTTGTGTTTAAGAAGGGTTTCGTTGATAAACAGAGTTTCAAGGGACCCCTAGTGCTGCTATCTCCATCTGTTGCGTTGAGAAATAAAACTCAAAGCAGAGCATAGCAGAACAAAGATAAGCATTATTACCAGACATCCAGGCAATGTCTTCCCAGTCACCAAGGTGCTCATACCTTTATCACACCGTCAAATGTTTCACAACTAAAAAACATTTCCACGAGTGAAATCCACGGTCCCCATGTAAGCCTAGAGATTTAGAATTCAGATTATGGCTTGAGCATGGTAACAATTGTCTAAATCGTTTCGGACAGGACATACCTTTTTATTAAGGGAAAAGTGCTGAAATTTCCTCTCCTTTTTAAAGTGCAAATGTGATGATTTAATGACTAACATGACTTAGTAAAAATGGAAGCCGTTTGTTTTATGAAACTTTCAACCAATTGATCCAATTTCTTATTGTCCTATGCTTGATAGAGAAAACTACCACATCAACAACAACATCCACGACAACATCAACGACACCAGTAGCAGTAGCATCATCAACAGACACACTTACATGTACAGGAGGCAAGGGTCTACATAGCACAGGTAATGGGTTGGGCTTAATGGAGATATGTGTTTAATTTTTGACTCAAAAAACAATGGATCAAATATTTTAAAACGTATTTGGAGCACTTAGGTGCAAAATGTTCCTTACGTTGTGTTGTTCAATTTGATGATGTTTTTATTTTACAATTTTGCATCTCTTAGGCGTGTTGGTTGGCGCAGTTGTGGCAGCAGTGGTGATAACATTTGGGGTCGCGGTTGCTTTATTTGTCCTGTATCATGTGAGTAAAATATATACAGTTATATTTTCATTCCACTTTAGTCCTAAGACAAGAAAATACACGAGTTATCTCATGGTGGTGCAAAAGTTATTAAGATTTATTGACACGAGCTTTTGAAATATATTCAAGAGAAGATTCATAACTGAAGCCAGAGTTTTTCAGACTTGTGTGAACATTTTGTTATGCAATTAATGGATGTATCGTTGACATTTTTCGTTTGTAGAGGAGCATGGTGCATAGATTTCGGAAGAATGGACAATCTGCTGACACTGTTGAAGTGGATGTTACGGAAGGCAACAATGAATACGCCGTGCTAGAAAGAAAACCAGATGTAAATGAGGTTAAGTACACAGAATCCACATGTTTACTTTGTATTACACAGCCCCCCCCCCAAAAAAAAATCCATTCATCTGGTGTTTTGCTCACTGTCCTATTCAGGCCTACCCAACTACCAGACGCGGCACCTACGGATCCTGAATAAACCGGTATATCAGACCACACTACCCGTTTTCAAGGTGTGTGTCAGATCGCATAACGGAGTATCATACCCCATCACAAATTTTGTAGGCCTTCCTGTCATCCGGGTATCGCTTAGGATCATCGCTATCACATCGAGCGCCAGGCAAAATGGGTGAAGTGGGTGATACTCCGTAATGCGATCTGACACACACCTTGAAAACGGGTAGTGTGGTCTGATATACTGGTTTATTTAGGCCTGCTATTGTTGGACTCCTGACTTTTATTGGATGGAGAAATACAGGTGATATATTTGGGTCTTTTATTATTTGACAGTAAGCTGCCATGAAACACCTTGCGTCTTGCAAAAATATTTCATTCTTTATCCACACGTTTATTTCAGCCGGATCACACTTACGCAGCACTTCAAGGAAAGATGACGTCATTCAATACGCCACCAAGAAAATAACTAGGAGAAGTTCCCAGGACAGTAAACGAACGCAACATCTACATCATCTTCACTGGACCATGGAACGTCGATTCCTCGGTTGGACAACGAACAGAATTAGAAAGAAAACTAATGTGTCAGATTTCAAAACGCCGATGTTCACAGCTGACATTAAAAGGGTTCCGATCTGTCCAAACCACCAAGCTAACAATTCAACTAAAATACAGGGTATTTTGATAGTGATTTTGTCGAAAACTAGAACTGCTAATATGAGCTCAAACGCTAACAATAGTCTTGGTTCGAACAATGCCCAAAAGTATTTTGGGGGATGCCTGTTCTTAATTTGTGTGAGAAAGAAATTATATTTACGGTAAAATAGCTGTAGGTATTATCATTCACATTTTAAGTTTATTGACACTCCCTTTCGCTTTCATATTATTTATTTCGAGGGTTATATTAATCGAATACAGTGTCGAATGTACTACGGAGAAAAGAACATAGTGAAAGATACACGGCCTCCGTAGCCTCTATGATTTTTTCAAGCTTAAACCTTTGACAAAATTTAAAAATCGTAAACTCGTAGGCCGTATTATTATGATAGAGGACATTGCACAGTTCCCGTGAGGGCATTGTTCAGTGGCCTTGCGGTATTTGTACATGTTCGGTGGACTTGCCGTTGAACTTAATGTAGATCTCTTTCCTTTAAAATTTAGTATTATTCACAGTTTTCTTATTCTGACTACATGGAGGAAAAAATCGTAGGGGGCTGTACCAACAACGTATCGATCGCACGGGAGGCTTACGGCACCTGTATTGAGACTAAAAGGGTTCTGTAGGATTACTTTTCAACAGAAAAACTGATTTTTTTTCTACATGACCTACATGGCAAATGTAATCTAGGTTTTTCCTGCTGTATACAGGTAGAATCTCAGTTGAATTAATGATCCAGAAATAAAACCTAGTATGAATCTTTTCTATCTGTCAGATCTGTGTTTACTCGACCTTAAATTATGTCCTTGACTTTGGTAAGGGAATTTCCTCGATATCTTGACAATGTAGTCCTGCTTTTCCTAATAAATGTTTTTTTTTTATCTTTTGGGCAAAAAGCTGAAGGACTTTATTTACTTGGCAATTAATATGTATTTCTTTGGACATGTCCTGTGCTTTTAAAATTGAGTAGTGATAAAACGATAATGAAGAATGACCACATCAAGTTCGAGAAATGCAAATATCTACGGTTCCCAACCAAGTAACAACATGTATCTGTAAAGTTTTTTTCGTGCTGTTGGTGGACAGAGCAACTCGTTTAAAAGATAAGTTCACTTAAATTTGTGCAATTTCGACATTCAAGCGATATATTACACTTTCACGTGGCCCGTTTTTCTGGTAGTAACTAAGTTAAGATTTAGCACAAAAGTAAGACTTGGTTGTGAATTACGACCTAGTGCCAGCAATTGGTTTTAATTTTGGTATAGGAGATACGTGTCCCAAATTACGTTACATTTAACATTGCTTATTCTTCTATTATGTATGTTCTCTTTAAAGATTTTTTAGCCAAAATTGCACATTAATGAAAAAAAGATAAAAACCATGAAAGGAAACGCACATCTCGTCAAATGACTTCATAGTATGGCTGAGGGAATTTCTTGTGATGATATCAAACTTTGTTTTAGGCTCTCTCAGATGCTTTCTAGTACTGCAAATTAAAAACCGGACTGGTGTAAATATCCAAGGGGATACAAACCGACGTTTTAAAATAGGTCACTTTGTGATAAAGCAAAAATTCACAAACAAAGACATAACCCTGTAAAAAAATATCCACTCCAGCTGATTTTCGGGCTTGAGGTGTATTGTGAGTCTGAGAATAACACAGTCCTAAACTACCTTCACCAAAAGTCACAAAGATAAGCTCAGTGTGACAGTTGACCTAATGTCAAACCTAATCAATGTTTTCTAAACAGTCACGCTGTCGTTAGGTGAGTGATAAAACACGGAATTAGTACAGTTTGAGGACAAAGTGAAGCTCAGTTGACACGAAGCGTTCAAAATGGGCGACAAACTATATAATATTGTGAGAGTACTGTTGGCATACCTGGTTTGCTGCCACCAAGGTAAGATTTACGTGGAATTTATGGGTTAGATACAGTATCTGTAAACAGGGCAGTAGCCTGAGCAAAATGCCAGGGGGGGCAGTAAGCGGACAGGAGGGGGCGAACCCCCTGAGGGGGGAGGGTGTGGGAGGGGGTTTCCACGGTGTGGAAAATTTTTAAAAACTGTATGTATAATACTGCATTCTGGTGCATTTTAACTGTTATTTATTGCTCAATCAGAAGTCAGAAATTGTGGGTTCATTTTGCCATAAGTACAGTCATTTTTTCAACGCAACACGCCAAATTGGACTTTTTGGCATGAACTGAGTTGGCTAAAAACAGTACACCTTTGTAAACAGATTGTTGAATGATTGTCTAGTGGCCATGAGTGC